TCTTTTCAGGGGTGAAGATGTAACAGAATTTCAGCCTCCGCCCGACTATATACTAATGGCTGACTGCATTTACTACGAGGAGGTAAAGGAGGACGTTACAAAACCCAGAGGGAAAGCGTCCTGGGGAGGGGTGTGGGTTTGACAGCAGAAGTGTTCAAATAAATACTGTGCTTGCGTCTTGGCCCCCCGTGGTTCATAGGAATGTGTAGAAAAAGACTGGAAAAGGTATTTTTAACTGATCCAAGGCCGTTTGAGACTCAACCAGAGACACTTGGGGTTTAAAAAAACCCTTAGACTTTGTATATTTGTGTCATCCCCTTTCCCCTCCCCTTTTTTTTGGTGTATTGGGAATGAGGTGTGAAGCAGAACACTGACTGATAGCTGGGAACTGTCTGGTGCACCGGTGAGCGGAGGTAAACAGTGCCGTGTCTGCACTGTTCGGGTTGGCATCAGGCTTCCCGTAGAAAGGTCAAAAGGAGAAATAGTGCTCCGGCCCGGCGGTTGCTGTAGTCTGCCCCATCTCCAGAGCTGCAGCTCTGTTGGATGTCCGCAGAGACCCAGCAGAAGTTGCCAGAACAGGGAAATGACCCGAAGAACCCCGTGCCCTTCCGGTGGTCTTACCAGCCCCTTGTGTTGGCTCCTGCATGTTGGTCCTGTTGCCCTACACCGTGGGCTGGATCCAAGCCATGTTCCAAGAATGGCTGAGAAAACTCTCCCTTTTGAGACACGTCAAGAAATAGTCGGTCTTGTGTGCTTCAAGGGAATGCCCGCTCAGCACTGCAGGACGTTTTTGGCTTTGGTGCTAGTTCAGTTTTGGTCAGTCTCTGAAACTCCTGTGCAGTCTCACTTTCTCGTCTGCTTTCCAGCTTGCCCCCTTGTTCTTTTTGTCCTAGATAAAGTCCTAAAAATAACTCCCCGAAAAGCAAAACTGGAAACTTCTCTCTTGGGTGAAGACTTTTTGTAGTTAGAGGGTGTTGTACCAGTGAAATGAACTTGAAATCCAAGTGGGATATACTTAACCTCTTTCTGGGCAGTCCTTAGAACCGTTACTGAAGACGCTGAAGGACCTTACCGGCCCTGACACGTGTGTCTTGTGCTGTTACGAGCAGAGGACTATGGGAAAGAATCCTGAAATTGAGAGAAAATACTTTGAGGTAAGCGTTCTCCACGTGTGCTTAGCGTGGGTGCGGGAGGTCTTCGTGTTGAATCAGCTGAGCGTCGGTGGCAGCTGCCACACATACAAATTCAGGTTGGCCACCCAAAGTAGGGTTTGTGGCAGGAGAAGCACGTTTGTCTCTAGATGGGGCGGAAAATTGGGATGGTAACTGCTGAAGTCATTGTCCAGCTTTTTCAGTAGAGACTTCCTGGATACTTCCTGAGATTTCCTTCCCACTAACGTTCGAACCCGCCTTTTTTGCCTTATTGAACCGCAGGGATGCTTTTGGTGCAGGCAGCCAGACCTGCCTAGGCTGTGAAAAGCCTCTCTGGCTTGTGAGAGCTCCACGTTGGCAGAAGGGCCGCCGTACGGGAGTTGCTATCCGTCACAGTCAAACCGGAATGGTTTCTGAGGGGGCAAGCGAATTAGGAGCCGGTTGCCACCCTCTTGCTGCCACGGCTGTCTTGATGTTAGCAGAGGTTGATGGGAGGATTAAAAATCAGTCTGGTGCCAGTTCATTCTCTTTCGGTGTGTCACGCTGAAAGCAGAGGAGAAACACAGGTGACGTTGTCCGGAGTTGCTAGGGAACTCGGGACTCTGCCAAGTGATAGAGCTGCTTTGGCAAAAATTTGCACCCTCCCCTACAGGAGCATTAATAGGTAAAATAATTCAATAGTCCAGGTAAACACAGGAAACAAGGCCCTGGGGATGACGGTCCGTGCAGGATTTAACTCTGCGCCTGTGACGTCTGCGGAAAAGCAGCCCTTGGGGTGCTGGTTTACGTGAAATAATAGCGCTGCAAGAAAGGAGAGGGGCAAAAATTCCAGGGCCATTTGCATGTGTTCACAAAATCACCTCTGTGTTAATGAGCGAGGAGGGTTGCTGTGGTGGAGATCAGCTCTGATGATGTGCCGCTCCCAACACAGACACGCTGGGTGTAGGTGTTTGTCGTGGTTTAACTCC